TATGTGAAGGAGAATTACTTGTTGCATGTGAAGTTTTTGCCGCCGGAACAAACACCTTTCCATTTCTTGGGAGGAGGACCAAAGCCTTTATCGGAAAAGCTCTCGGATTCAGGCCAAATCCCAGTGTCTATGACTCCGATTATGGTATCACTCTCTACGGCCAAGTTTCGATTTGTATTTTTTCCTTCCTTTAACCCTATGAAATCCCAAGACCTAGTCGTTTGGACTTTGTAGTTCTTATTCGGGAACACAGACACAACTCCCTCCATTTCTAACAACACAAAAAGAGTTTAAATTGTCTAACCTTACAAAACCATTTGAACATAAAATGTGTCTCGATCGAAGGACACTCACCGGCTACTCGTTTCCGTTCTGCCTCTGTGAGTCGGGCCGCGAACCCGTTAAAACTCCTCTTATAACTTCTCACCAGACGACCTTCGATCGAACTAGAATAAATATCATTTGGTCGTCAGAATCTACATAACAATATTTAAATTGATTATAACTAATGAGATGACTAAAGAATGAATCAATTAAATCACACCTTTCTCCGGTGACCTCTTGAAGAATACTTATGTGATTTGACATTGGTATGTAGTCCGATCGAGAAGGAAGTGAACCCATGTAGACAATATACACCTTCACGAATTATTATCATCATCATGTATGATATATATCATCATTGACAGAAACAAAAAAAAATAGTTTGGTCAATTCAAAAAAAAAAATAGTTTGGTTCATATACAAAAAAAAAAGCCTTGATGATCATTAATTATAATAACATACTTGTTTTTCTTGAGGATCATCTTTGACTGCTGAGACTAAACTGATCAAGAACAAGACAAGGAGGCATGAGGAGGTTGCTTGTAATTTTTCCATTTTTATTAAAAATGAATTAGAGGCTAGTGCAATATTTTATAATTTCTATGGAGATCAAAATGGAATGAAAGGATTTTTTTATACTAAACATTTTATTTTATATAGATCTTGCTTTTAAATTGTTTTAATATATATAGAAACTCTATATATTGTTCTGTGACAATATTTTATATTATTAATATGTCTATGTAATTCATTTAAATTTCTGGCCACAGTTGTATAATTTTAGTAAATGCTTCAGTTTTATTCCATTAAAAGATATTAATTTTATTAAAACTATTTCTACGTTCTTAAAACAAAATATTTTCTACTACTATCAAATTAGATGATTTTCTAGAGGTTTTTTGTATCAAATTAGAAGATTTTTTGAGTTTTCAAAACAAAATTAAATACATTTT